AGTCTTTCGCAGCAGTGGTAGCTAAATCCTTTGGATCCATTCGTTTATAATTCCTGCCGAATTTGGACATGCATCACCCACCCACTTACCTCCTCAAGGTGCATTAGCCTCCCCCGCTCTATCGCTTTACTTCAGACTTACTCATCCATCCAGTCAATCCTCTAGTATTTATCAACCCATCCATCAACCCACCTCTCTCGGATCTATCCAACCAATCTTCTCTTTTCAGCCTATCCAGGGCCCACCCAACCCCCTCCATACGCACAACCACCAACGGCGCCGCCAATGGGAGCACCTTATTTGCAATCACAACCGATGCAACCAGCACCGGGCGCACCTTACGGTGCTTACCCAACCACCAGTCAACCCGTTGCGGGTTCAAGTTACAACTACTATCCGCCGCCTCAACCACCAGCGCCTGGTCAGCAGCCGCAGGTCCTCTACGACAAGAATGGCAAGCCCTATACCATTGTATACAAGAATGGAAAGCCCAAGAAGAAGAAGTGGAAGAAGGCCGCTGCTGGTAAGTGTATCTGTAATGGCTGAGCTATCTCTAAACTCGATTGACAAGTGAATGACAAAGTGGTCTGTCAAATGGAGATCGTTGACAGGTGAAATTGAACGGGAGTGGTGCCTTTTTTCACATCACTTTGTCCTTTGCAGGGATCGCAGCCGGAGCGGCAACAGGTTATGTGGCGGGTAAGATGCTCGGTGGACTTGGTCGTGTTTTTGGCTACGGCCTCGGTGGGTGGGGCGGAGGCTGGGGACGTCCATGCCACAGTGGCTGGGGCAGTTGGTCCTCGTTAAGCTCCTTCAGCAGCTCTGACTGATGGTCATCCTAGACAATCCCTCTCTGACAATGGATTTGTTGCACCTGTTTCGTGGGTTTCTCCTTCTTCTAATCACTGATCTTGTGCTAGAGATAATCATCTAATTTACCAAAACAACTTCCATCTAATCAACGCTTCAGCGGAGTGTTCTTCATTTGGGTGGGGAACCAATAAGATTGATGCCGGGGTCGTTAGATATTGCTGAGTTTATAATGGCTGAAATAATGCAAAAGTATTTGGTAATAGGGGGTGAATAGTCGCGTGGGTGGACGAAGTAGTGATTTTTACTCGTGACGGGATGCATGCAAGCCGCCGACGGGGGCGGTTGATTTGAACACGGGACGTGCATCGCAATAACACTCATTTGATGTGTTGGCTTTTGGTAAGGCGGTTTAGCTTCCAAATAACATCATTCTCACAGGAGCAATTAAGCAAAGCGCCCATTTAAATGACAGTTTTCTGATAATTGGCATTGTTTTTTTTTCCAGCGCGGTCAAATCTCCTAAATTATTTACGATTTAAGTAGTACTTACGCACGGTGTTTTGCATTACTTAGTCATGACTTGGGTCTAAATCACCGAGGCGCATTGCTAAGTATAACTGCTTGCTCCGATTTACTAGAGAGCTAGATTCTAACGAAACAACTCTAGAATGGAATTAAAAAGTCTAGGTACTTTCCTGGACTGCTCTCCCCGTATTACCGAGGAAGACACTAAGACTCCAACTATAATTTGTCATATTAAGCCGAAGTATTCAAACCAAAAGGTAGGCCTCCAACGAGGAAGGTTAAGTTTTTTGTATGACTCATTTCTAGCGAGCTAAGTAGCAATGGCGACACATTCGAATATAACAGTAAAACCAAATGAAGGTCCCACCGGTGAAATTACAAAGTCACATGGACAGATGTTTAAGTTGATAATGAGAAGAGCCTTCCTTACCAAGACTTCTGAATGGGAACTACTTGAATCAAGGCTCAATTGAGCTCTGATAGTTTGCTTAACTTTCCGCCTGAAGATTATACTTCTGTTAAGCGAAATGGCCCCCGATCCATGTCAGAAAGAATCAATGTGCTACATATCTGGTTGTTTTATTTTTCGTGAAACCAGATTCTTTGCTACATAGGTTTGAGTACGTGCTCTTTCAATGCTTCCATAAACAGAAAAAAATCCTTGTTTTTACCGAAGAGCATAACTGCAGTGAGAAGTGGTATTTCATTCAAAAGAGTGCATTTCAGAATGTATCGTACCCCTTAATTATACGCATTTCTTTAATCTCCACCTGCGATGATCATGCAATTATAAACAAAATAAATTTCATGGCCATTTTAAATCGTTGCGGTTGCAAATTAAGGGCTAAATTTAAAATTTATTTAGCAGCGAAAAGGGTTTTTTCTACTGAAACTCAGGAAATGAGTAGTAGATGTTGGGCATTCATAATGACCCACACGTCTGCTTTAACTCTGCCTTATTGTTGGTTTCTATACTTACGACCTTTACACCCTTTAAATATCTGCTTAATAAGTGTTTCTTAAAAAAACAGTTGCTCCTTTGTCGATCGTCCTATAGCATTAAAGCAAATGGCACAACACCTCACCTTTCACAAGAAGATGACATGGTGGAAAAATACTAGCGCCATTTCTGATAAGCTGTCGATTTATGGTATCACCGCCACATCATAATTCCTTTAGGCAAAATTTTTCGTTAATGGTTGTCATATTTTACCGAGACAAAAATTAATTATTACTACACATGTTATTTGAATGCATGCAAAGCGTTTTTGGCAAAGTCTTTGGTTTTCAACATTTTCATTGAAACGTGAATATAAAGCTGGGACATGCAATAGCTCCAGCTAGTTGTTAGGCACTGAACACTGAAAGCGTTTGCTAAACGTCAGATCTAGGGAGCACATTGTGCCACAATTCTCGCGTACGTGAAGTCACATAAAGTAAATAAGCATTTAATGATTCCAGCAAATCTCCCAGAACATCTCATTACCAGAAGACTGAAGTAATGGCGTCAAATCATGATGCAAATGAAACCCATTATTTAAAAATTGAAATTTGTTGGGTCAAACAAATACGACATTTGCTAAGCATATAAAACAATATTTAGTTACATTAATGCCACCAAATATTTCAACAGAAAAAAATAGCGATTCTTATTAGTGAGTGGTGGGTGATCATATTTCTTAGGTGCATAAAAGCAGTCTTTTAATCGGGAAGTAAAGAGCGATATCAATTCTTGCAGAAATCCACTTACAAATGGCTAGTATTTAATAACCTCTACCAGATTAATAAATTCCTGCGACGCTGTTTCCTTAATGAAACATCGCAAATTAGGCTGATTTGCTGATTGGGCCTAGGCGTACCTTTTGGTTTTGCATAAACAGTTGTAACATAGAGAAGCAAAGATGTCGGCTTTATTCGTTAGCTGAAAACACCCTCTGAAGGTTTTTGAATTGCCTTGTTCTTTGAAGCAGCACCACCACCACTATTTCTCGATGAGATATAAGACAGCTCATAAATCCCTCCTTACACAAGAAAACGCTTTTTTTCTAGAAGTAAACGATATGGTGCCTAGCAAGGGAACAGTTTAGTGCATTGCATTGCACCATGACGCGCCGCATACACACCCATGCATAGGCATAAGGCAAGTGTGGTCTCGTAAAATAGAAATGCTCCATTGCTCAGACGTGTAGGGTAATGTAAAAGGTTTGGATGACATTTGATGCCACGCGTCGGTTCTCACGGATCCGTTGGTGCTTCAATCAGGCAGTGAGATGATCAGAAAGTGAAACACTCAAAATATAAATGCGCACTGCGTTCTCAAGATATGCACCAGAGAGACGGAGAGCAACTCAATCACCTCCAGTTAAGGCATATTGTCATCCCTTGATGCGGCTGTCATCCATTTGCTTGTCAGTTGCCAAG